GTACTGTTCATCTAGTACAACAGTGGTAAGCATGTTTCGATAAGAACAAATGATGAATGCGATAAACCACAAATCGAATGTTGGGGTTTATCGAAAAATTCGATTTTTCAAAAACTCATCTGCTCCTTCCAGCAGCATGTTCAGCACTGTTGTGTTAAATGTTCAGTGCTGCTTTGAAGGGTTTTAATTAACTTTGAAGAAAGAAATGTCACTTTGAAGAAAAGACGGTCGGCCCCCGAGGATTATCAGGACATCATACAAAAAGCTGGAAAATGCGGCTTGTGCAGCTTCTCGCTCCTGTTCATTATGTTCACAGTGAAAGATGGTAGGAATAATGACAGGCAGGTAGACAGTGTGAAATTCAGAAGTTCGGAGCTTTAAAATATGAAGCTTTCTTTGTAAGCTGCGGTCCCCTCCCCGGCAGGGATGTTAATGCATGCGGCCCTAAGAGTGCATCTCCATGCCCACTAAGGGATGACTCGTAAAGGGAAAAGCTTTTCAGCAAGACCCAAGTTCAACTCAGTTCTGCGAATAATATCATGCCAGGCGCACTGCAGAAAATCATTGAAATTACGTACATGTGAAAATACTTGAAGCTGTTAAAGGAAGGTAAAGTCTCAAGAAGCGGTTGGAGGAACATCTGCAAATAATAGGTCTCGCTGTTAGCTGTACGCAATAATTACAGAGGTTTTTGATGAACAAGATGACCGAGCTTTGACTTGTTTCCGAGATAAGATGAGTATAGCATAAACTTTCCGAACCAACCTCTTGCTCACTATAAAGTTCAGCCTATAAATAAGAGATATTTTTAATGGAATGCAATAGCATGGACCACAAACAGGCATACTACCTGATGTAGAGTCCTTTCAAACCTTTTTATGGAAAACACCACCTTCTTTTTAAGACTACTAGTTAAGCAAGAGTTGCTAAAGTAACAAAACGAAGTAGGGTAAAAAATCGTACTGCTAAAAAATTGGGTTGAGACTCACTTCATAACAATCGGCTATTTTCTCTAGTGTTGTATCTTCTCCAGTATTTATAACGAATAATGAACATGGAAAATGTTGGGGAGCAACTCTATAAGAAAGGAATAGTGATCTGGAGCCCCTTCGGGCGTTCAAAGGAAGCCATTAACCAGGTTGATCTTTCGCAGCTTTCAGCTCACCCGATCCAACCGTTCTCCCAGTGCATTAGTGAGCTGAGACTTGGGCTATACAGTAGTATCACGGAAGCTCTACGTGCCACCGGCAGAGTGCTTGAGAGCAGTCTTCTGGAGATTACCCTATATACTAGGTTTCGTAGCATGGATATGAAAAAAATGTCCCGTCTTCGTAGCCCAGCAAGCGTAGCGAAAGCCAACACCGCTGAGCCGGTCACATCATGAAAAGAATAGACGACAGATGCACACTAAGAACGTTGGTAGTGTGCAGCACAAGAAGCAAAATGCTCTCAGTAAGACCAACCACAAGATGAACAGACGTATTTGAGGAGCGATTGCACATCTGAAAAAGCAGCCATGCAACCATGCGGATGGCTGTTAACGCCATCGCCGGCTGAAAAGAGGGTGTATGAAGTGAGCGAAAAACAGAGATTGATGGCAAATTCTGCTTAAGTCTCAGGCACCGTGAGGACAGACCTTCCAGGTACCTAATAGTGTGGCTAACTCAGACAATGAGTGTTGAACCATTTTTGTGACAGCAACGAGCTATCAGCTACAAGAAGAGATATACTTCTCTCCTCTTTTTCAGTATAACTGTCAAAAGCAAACTTTTTAGACAAATGGGAATTGCAAGGCAAAAATTGGTTATGTTTCTAAAGAAAACCTCAAAAGCGCAAAATAGATATCACGATTGTACTCGCATATCGCCTAAAAGACAGTGGAGATGGATGGAATAAAGGAAACCAAATTTAACCTAAATTTAGCAAACTTCTTATTGTAGTAGGATCGCCCTCCGATGTGAGAGCATGCGAAATTCTTCATCATGTCATTTCAAAAATCATTTCCATTTGTGCATTAACTTCAGATGCAAATATCTTTTGGAAACATGGGGATGATTCAAACTTGAACTTCTGCGCTTCAGATAAATGGAAATCAACGACGCTTTCTTGGGTTTCGTTACAACTTTTTGCAGGTGAGGTTTTCCAACATATTTTTTCCCATCCAAGAACTTGGCTGAAGATCTCCCGGCGGCAGCTACGTAGTGATTGCGAGTTGGCATCAACGAGCAAGGTAAAAACGCGACAAAGATGTTTGAGCATACAACCGGTGGCTCGTACATGTCTTGCCATTTGAACCAAATCCACTGGGTCGTATAGCTTTCTGAAGTTTTCAATTTGCTAGCTTGCAATGAAATTTTTATGGCCAAAGTGAGCAAACTTCTGTAGACATTTTTTGGAAAACTTCCTGAGATCAACATTCCAGACTACAAGACTTCTTAACGACCGAGGGATTAGAACGGACATTCTTACAGTTAGAGCGGATTCCAATCCAAGTTTTATGGCGCGGCGCGGGTTCTCGCAGCCGCCTTGCTTGGGTCACAGCGTTCGCAAATGCTTCGCGGGACATTTTCCCCTCATCAGCCATTTGATGTATTTCCCATGCCTCAAGTGTGAAAAATAGCGAATCCGCTGAGGGCACGCGTCGAGTGATTCAAGCCAGGGGGCTCGCGAGAAAACGAGCCGCGCCGACCATGACTTAGATTGAAATAACCTGTAAAACAATTTAGAAGTTTCTTTTGACTTCACTTTTGAAGACACTGGCTTGTGATTTTAGTGTGCAAACAGAAAAATTCGCTTCTTACTTCATCTTATGGTGATTAGTGGAGTTAAACCTAGCTGCAGTACACTATCTCCTAAACTACTTTTTCCCGAGGTAGTTATGGCCAAAATCAAATTTAGAAGAGCCGATGTGTATTTGTGGGAAAACGTTGTCATCGATGCCTAATGCAAGGTTGCAAATCTGCTGTGTTCACTTTTTATTCTTTCCGCCTCATATTATCATCATACTTCTTTCATAAGCTATGTAACTTCAGTTCATCGTTTCTGATAGACAAGATAAAATGCTATTTATTTTGGCTTCGGAACCAATGACATCATCGAATGCAAGCCATCTTTAACTGGTTTATTGCAGCAACTATGACAAACGGAAACCGGAAAGTGATGACATTTGCACGTACTTGTTTCATCGAACATAAAATGAAGTGCAATGTGTTTATTTGATGAGGCCAATTCCTTCTTCAGTGGATTATTCATAAGCTCGTAAATCGGTGGAACTCCTAAGCCGGTATGCAGGACGCTTCAAATCTCGCTACTCTGGATACCTGCATCATTTTTTCTCTTATGTGAAGGTTCTCATACCTCAATACTTGATTGTAGTGGATAATTGAATGCAAGCTGAGATTTTTACTGTTTTGTGCAATTTCTCAGAGGATCCGTAAATGAGTTTTTCTAAGTGATAGTAATAAATTCCCAAATACAAATACACTGGACCCAGTGAAAATAAACGCTTCTAAGCTCGCGTAATTCTCCAAAGGTACGTTTTGTGAGATTTTAGGACTCCAAATCGCGTTGTAGTGGAGTTTGCCGTATAAGCTTATTCGTCTTCATTTTTGACGCTTGGGAACCCCGTGCCTTATCGCGATTTTCACTGAGTTTCAACCTTACGAATCAGTTCTACAGTTTAATGATGCTATGCACATACTATGTTTAAGTTTGTAAGATTGTGTATCTGTATCTGGCCAGGAAAAGTGAGCAATGCCAGGCATTCGTTTTGGCCACCAGGTAGGCTCATTCCACAAAAACTACGGTCTTCGTTAATGCAATAAAGCTTTTCGTTGCCTCTTAGCCCCAAAGCCTAGAAATTAGCCTTGCAACTCAAAATTTTAGCACGAATACATCATAATGCAAGCCAACGAAGCTGCTTCATGATTTTTTGCTGACATGGAAGCTGAGTTTTGAGGCTTGAAGTCTTGCTGATTTTAGGGTAGGGTTAGAACTTGGTTGGAACACGCAACATGCACATAGGGTTCCCAAGTCTCAGACAAAATATCTTGAGAAAAATCTAATGTATGTCAAAGCTCCGGTAAAAGCCAAATAGAGTCCTAAAACTCCAAGAAACACAAACAACGAAAACAAACACGCTCTTTCTCAAGAGATATTTGAAGCGACCTGAATGAGGTTCTGAACACAAAAAGCGCTTCTTTTTCCTGAGTGCACCGGTTCAGTGTATAAAGCATTTTAGATTTTGTCACTGTAACCTTACAAAAAAATTTCGATTTGACATTGCAGCTTTGAGTAAGAAGGCTTCGTTCGTAAAATTATGAACTACCAAAAGTTCCTTTGGGCGTACATCGCTCCTAAGATTCTTACCGATGTTTATTCTTGTCTGCATATACCGTTTTCGGCCATGAGCTTTCACGTTGCACCAACACTTCTTTGACCTTCTAAATAGCCCCGAAACTTTCAGTCTATGAGGTATTCGTATGATTATGAATTCCACTGTTTTAGCAGTTGATTAAAACTCAGAAACGACCATGACACTGAAGGAATTGCACGAAGGGAATATGGGAGTCGTGCTTGAATTTAGATTTGTCATGTAAATTTAAGAAATGGTGCAATTACGGTGGCAACTGATGGAATGTGTACGAGTGTACTATAGGGTTGTGCTTGATCGTGAAGGGCAGTGCAAGTTTGTAACCATTGCTGACGCAACGCGCCAACAAAAATTTCTCAATTTCCTTTTTCTGAAAACACTTTTTTGCTATGTCAGATGTCAGCCTTCAACTATTTGAGGCGATTTTCAGCGTTGTGAAAGTGATTCCGTTGTTTTGTTTTAAGTTGTTAAAAATCTTGTAGCGTGAGCAATGTCTGCAGCCGATATGATCTTCAAAATCTGGCAGAGCTGTTAGCTCCTTGCGCTCTACTTTTTTGTAAGATTTCGTTATGCTTGCCGCAGGCAACTTCTTTCACAACTTTTACAATTTTTAAAATTTTTATTAGATTTTGCTCTTTGTCAAAGAAAAAACAGAAAGTTTGTTTCCATCAGCTGTGGCATACGCAGGTACCACGTGCATTGTTGCTTCCTCCACCCCAGCCCTGAAACAACTTGGTTCTCAATGCAAACTTACTGGTTTATAAAAGATGTTTGAAGCTTAGTTTTTTCTAGCAATAACCGAGCACTTTGGTATCAGGGTTGTCAAGAAAGTTCTCGGGTACTTGCAAAGAATTTCAGACTAACATCGAGCAGAATGATCTTCTTTGAGGGATTTCTAAAACACGTTATTCATCCTGTTGACTAACTAGAGAAGGAGCTCTGGTCGAAGTGGCCTTTCTGAATAGGACGCATATACTCTTGAAGCGCATCGAACGCTAATTCCAAATCTATCTTCGTTATCTGCGGAGCACTTCTGTACAAGGAGTTGTGAGAGTTTTTGAGGCACAAATATGGGCGCATGAGTAGAAGACAGTCATTCATAGAAGTCTCCGTGAGCTCAGATGGAATAACGGTGACTGTTGACTACAATATGAAAGGATAATTTTCTTGCTTGCCTTACTTATATTCGCCGTTAGTTTATCTGTGAGATGGAAAGGCTGTTACTGATTTTCTTCAAGTAAAGCGTTCAATTTTTGACTCATAAAACCGGTCATAACTCATCACCTATCGGTGCCTCGCATATAAGGAAGGCAGATCCGAAATCAGCATTAAATTCCCTTTAGAACCATATGCATCACAACTGAAAAGGACACTTCGTGTAAGGAAGGATCCTTCCTCTGTTAGATGGACGAAACCGCTTTGCACACATTGTCAAAACAAGCATGGTCTTGTAACTGATATTTTGTTACTTTGATCCATCTATTCTAGCACCATTTGCTACTTGGAACCAGGAGTGAACAAGTTCAAGCTTGTTTAGAAATACGCAAAGCGGTTTTGTGTCTCCAGTATAGATGATACCTATTCATCAAATTGTTTGCACACTGCAAGCTACCCGCGTGCGCAAGGCGAATAGGTTTACTTACATTAGATATTGACCTGTTTGTTCAGGATTATCTCAGAAACAACGAGCGCTAAAGAACTCAAATATGCTAATTATATAGAAATCAAGAGGGACTGCTGATAGACTAGTTGTGACATTGGAGCGCTTCCAGCGAAAATTTTTCAAAGCCCTTGAATATCCCCATTTTCTGTGCAAGTGAATTTGAAATGTACGTAAACATCGACTAATGTCTTGCAGATTAGTGACCATCGTCTGGTGTGACGATTCTTCAAAAATTGATGCTGGTTGCGAAAAGCGTTGTGGTCAAAAAATTAGTTTGACAGCTTGTAATTATTGTGCGCGTGCTGCAGAATTCGAGCGCAGCTGCTTTGAAGTAGACATGCTTGTCATAATACGCCTAAATTTTCTTCTACAAAATAAAACATTAATTTGCAGCTAAAACACAACGAGGAAGAAAATTACCTCTGAAATTGAGTTTTTCAAAATTGTCCACGAACTTTCTTCACAACCTCGTAATTGTGTTCATTTTAAAGCTAATAAACATTACCTTCCCTATGCAGGCCCAGTAGCACCCAGTGTTGCCTATAAATTCGCCAAAGTCATGAGCCAAACCAGCTTCGCTGCTAGCCATCTCACAAAGCAGTACAATAAAGATTAGCATAAACTTTACAAACCTCATCATCCTGAAATGATGCCAATGAAATTTTGAAACTTTATCCACAACTAATGAGTCACCATAAACGGAATGGAAACTTTCTGAACAAAAGTCCAAATTTCAGAAACGATGCAGATAATGTGTAGTTGTCAATTTTAAATCGTAAAGAAGAACATGCAGAGGGGACGCCTGATGAGCTGCAGGCGAGCCGAAACGTCCAAATGTTTAGGTCATTTTTTAAATTGTGACAGCGGATTTGACTGCGGTCTTTGCATCCACAAAAGCGTAAAACACTTATATGAAGGGTATCACCTCAACGGTAAGCTAAATTACTTCCAATGTCTACATACTATCATATGTAGGCAGAAAAACCATTCAAGTAAAGATGAAGATCAAGAATCCGATTGCCTGAAATGGTGCGTGTCGCGAGCGGCTGCGCCATCGTCACAATTTTTCGAAGGCCCTATACTCTGCTGAGGGAGTAGGATTTGACACGGTTGGATAAGAGAGCACGTGGGGGAAGCGAGGGGGGCAGTTGAGCATACTGAAAACGAATGTAGTTACCGTTTATTACCATAATTGTTACTTTTGCTCATTTCATCGATTTTTCGTGGAATTTTTGTACATAATGGGCAAAAGGTCGTTTCAAGGGATTTGCCTCCCGCAGGCATGTGAGCAGAATGATATTGTGGGAGGAAATAACAGCGTTGTTCAAAGCAGAACACTATTTTGGGGAGATTAATCACCTTATTGAAACCGAATTTTGAAAGCAGCTGCTCTACAGAAATTCCTATTTTCTCTGAAAAAGATGAGCGTGTAAGCAAGGATGACTTGTGACAAAAGACTGCACAACGTTCCGCAGAGCGAAATGCTATTCTGAAAATTATAAAATTTGAATTTTTCAAATTAAATTTTATTTTCGTCTATTCTATCCAACTGTTATCAAAGCTAGTCCAAAAGTCGAGACTGGAAATTTTTGAAAATATCCAAACTCAAGATGAGTAAAAATCATGGATTTGAGATTCTGACAATTATTGAAGCGGCATTGAAGGAATTTAAACAAGCCGTCATCATTAGAAAGAAGATGGAATTTTGCATCGAACGCTATTCAAAACGTTAGGGTATCATTATTCTGATGGGTTTGAGCATGCGTCTGAAAAACGTCACGAACTTTCGGGCCAACCCATACTTCTGTATATGCTATAAAACATTTTTGACACTTATCTGGGATTCGAAAAAATTGCGTTGCGCTGTGAAAGTAGTGCTGCATTTCCTAGGAAACCTGTACTTCGGTTATATAAATGAAACCTCTTTCTTGATGATTTTACTGGCTAGCACATTAAACAGCTAGAGCTTACTCTTTGTCAGAGTTTTCTTTGTCGTCTCTCTTCGCATATAATAGGAAATTGCCCTCACTTCAATTTTGTTGAGAAGGAAGGTCCTGACTTTGTAAAAGTCTCTGTGGGATTTTCTGCAAAGCACTAAATTGCTGGGATAGTAGCGAAGAAGAAGCTTTTTCACATTGAAGACATGCAAATTTTTATTAGTCTGCCTTCTGGGACCAAGGTCTTACACGGAATAGTCATGTGAAACCATGCATATCTACATTAAAGCTATATAACGGTGCAAACTAAGTATGAGTTATATTTTCTTTTTTTGAAAGCGCAAAAAATTTTTCTAGAATGAGATTATCCCGAGATAGACATTTTCTCAATGTGCTTCATACCTTGACACACCGAGTGTTGAGTGGTCCCACCTTGGGTCGCCGAAAGCTGGAAATCTTGCAGCAACCCAGATTTGTCAGTGCTAATCTCTTAATCAAAAAATATTTTTTTATGTGCCCACTAAGCATTTCTACGAAGTTATGAATTTCAAAGTGCTAGTAATCAAATTTAAGGAAATGTCCAATTGCACAAACTTTTTCGAAAGAGAATGCAGGTCAAAGCTTAGGTATTGGCGAGTCCGGATGTTTTCGAAACAGATCTAAACCAATTTACAGTTACTTATGCTCCATTGGCCCTCTGCTTTCATGTCTTTCTCTGCAGACAATGTGAAGTAGCTGAGTGTCATCTTCTGAAAGTCAAATTTGGAATTGTGTAATGCACAAACCGATGCTAGCTCCAAAACTTTTTTTAGAAGCTGTTTGATGGACTGCACTAAAAATTTTGCACATGGTTTTTGAGGAAAACTTGAGCAAATTGCTTCTACTATGACTTGAAGTACAGAAGGGACCGCTAGTGTTGTGTTTTTGTCACCTTTACGATAGCGCTAAGGAATCTCGACTATCCGTAAGCCAGCTTTAGTGGAAGAGACCACACCAAGTTATTATGAACGCTCGAGCCCCGTTTTACGCATGTAAAGCTTCCAACAGAATTTTATTTCTGAATCGTAATTCACTTTGAAAGTAAGAAAAATCGAGACTTTTTCGGTGTTTGGCGAGTCTGCGTCTAATATGGGTTTGCTAAAATTCGATGGTGTTGTTAAAAATTCTATCAAATTGTGGCTAAATATGAGGAGTGGAACAATTCTTTTTGTATCTTATAAGGTTTGCCATTACTTATACTTTTTCGGGGAATCAGTACAAAAGAAAATTGAAGAATAGCTGAGCTTGATAATGGCAAAACCATAGGGCACAGCTTTTGGTTCCTAAGAGCTCGTTCATCGAACTGCAATAAAAAAAATTATTATTTGAAAGAGCATGAGAAAATTGCATTGGATATAAACCACTACAAAGTTTCAGCGGAATGTGGCGCCTTTGAAAAAAGCGACATTTTCGGGACTACCGAGTGTTTTCACACGAACTCATAATAACCGAAAATGTTGTACTTTGCATTACCATCCTTGCAGTAAAAGAAGCTCATGCCTTTGAGAATGATACTCAAAGACTAGAAAGAATGTAGATTTGCAAGCAATATTGGTAGACCTACTTACCGCTCACAGAACTGCAAAATTATCGCGAATATCGCGACATTCCGGAAATTCCGGTGACTCGCGGAAGTTTTGCACGATCTCTGAGCGGTTTTGTACATCTGCCTGACTTACAGTACATCCTTGCTAGGCAAAATAGCGCTTTGAATCGAACTTATTGTTTACAGCTTTATAACGGTGCCAGCCTAAGATGCCTACTTCTTGATTTGATATCACGGGTCTGAAGTTTACGTTCCGTCTCGCTAAAGAGTTGTTACAATTGATGGGATCTCCTTCTCGTAAATTTTAGGGAGATTTGCGCTTAGCACAAAGGCGCTTTTTCTGCATCCTTGTAAGTCACCAATTCTCAAGATGATAGTTATGAAATAGGAGGGGACAGAACAAATAAATTTGACTTTACTTTACTTCAGGTTAAAACAAAATCATTTAACTTTGATACAAAAGAACTTCTGATAGTAGAAGATGGTTGAAATTCGTGTAACGTCTTAGAGAGGTAAGGAGTATTAAGGAGTAAGGAGTATAAGAGCTACAGACCATGCGCGGTATGCCCCTTTTATACTCTACTTATAGCTAGTTTTTGAAAAAAAAAACAGGACAGGATCATTTAAAATGACTCATCAGATGACTTACGTTATTTGCGCTCGTTTGATCACCTGATGTTTGCAAAACTGCTCTACGCTCAAAAAACTGCCGTTAAGACTTTAACATGATTCCCACAGTCATGCTAAGAAAAACGACATTCAGTAAAAAAGATCTAGGATACCGGTTTATTCAATAAAACTCTAAGTATTGTTTTCTCACTTAGTCATTCATTTATTCATCATGCTTTTGAAGTTAAAGACATAGAGTACCGTATCTTTAAAACGAAAAGATCTGGTGTGACTAATGCACGCAGAAAGAGAATTTCTAAAAAAGGCATTAGTTCGACTAACTGATGTTTTGCCTCCTCCTTTAACTCAAAATTTCGCATCAAGGCTGACATTGGTAAAGAGTTACAGTACCTTTGAGAAGTTATCACTTTATCTCAATGTAAGATGAAATCACCAGCATTTGCAAATCGTATTGTCGTCGGTAACCTAAGCTCAGTTTTAAAGCTAGTTTAAAAAATTATTTTGATTTTGAAACAAACTCATCTTTAAAAATTTTTTTCAAAGTCTGGGCTTGGAGATCGCGTAGGCCTAAGGCATACCTCTTGCGATTCGGCCAAATCGCCACTTTGACGCGACTTGACAATTCGTCAGATTTCTAAAAATCTATCGTGCGCGTTCCGACGGAGTTTTCAAACTGCAAAAATGTTTGACGTTTGGCAATACAGTATGCCAAGGTATAGCAGACGGGTGAGATCCTCCGCCGCTGGACTGTAGGAAAAATTACTGGCGGTTCCCATTCCATAAAGTCAGCGGTGATCTTCATGGGCAAAAGTACGGAAGGTCCGCGGCTTGTGCAGCTTCTCGCTCCTGTTCATTATGTTCACAGTGAAGGATGGTAGGAATAGTTACATGTAGGTAGATAGTGCGAAATTCAGAAGTTCGGAGCTTCAAAATATGAAGCTTTCTTTGTAAGCTGCGGTCCCCTCCCCGGTAGGGATGTTAATGCATGCGGCCCTAAGAGTACATCTCCATGCCCACTAAGGGATGACTCGTAAAGGGAAAAGCTTTTGAGCAGGACCCAAGTTCATCTGATGCGAATGATGTCATGCCAGGCGCACTGCAGAAAATCATTGAAATTACGCACATGTGAGAATACTGGAAGCTGTTCAAGGAAAGCAAACAAGAAGCGGTTGGAGGGACATCTGCAAATAATACGTTGTGCTGTTAGCGAACGTAATAATTGCAGAGGTTTGTGATGAACAAGATGACCGTGCCTTGACTTGCCTCGGAAATAAGACAACCTTAGCATAAACTTTCCGAACCAACCTCTTGCTCACTAAATAAAGGACAGTCTATAAATAAGCGCGATTTTCAATGGATGCAATAGCATGGACCACAATCAGGTATACTAGCTGATGTAGAGTTTTTTCAAACTTTTTTACAGAAAACATCACCCTCAAGTACTACTAGTTAAGCAAGATGATGCTGGAGGAACAAAACGAAGTGGGGAAGAAAATAGTACTGCTCAAAAATTGGATTGAAACTCACTTCATAATGAGTGTCCTACGTGAAGATATGAAAGAAGTAGCAAACACTTCAATCGGCTACTTTCCTCAGTGTTGTATCTTTTCCAGTGTGTTTATAGCGAATTTAATGAACATGAAAAATGTTGGGGAACCACTCTATAGGAAAAGAATAGTGATCTGGGGGAGGGGGGGGGGGGGTTTAAAGGAAGACACCAGCCAGGTTAATGTTTCGCAGCTTTCAGCTCACCCGTTCGATGCAACCGTTCTCCCAGTGCGTTAGGGAGCTGAGACTTGATCTACACAGCAGTGTCGCGGAAGCTCTACGTACCATCGGCAGAGTGCTTGAGAGTAGTCTTCTGGAGACTACCCTATACACTAGACTTCGTAGTATGGATATGAAAAAAATGTCCCGTCTTCGTAACCCAGCAAGCGTAGCGAAAGCCAACAATTGCTGAGCCGGTCACATCATGAAAAGAACAGACGACAGATGCACACTAAGAACGTTGGTAGTGTGCACCACAAGAAGCAAAATGCCCTCAGTAAGACCAACCACAGGATGGAGAGACTATTTGAGGAGCGATTGCACATCTGAAAAACCAGCCATACGACCATGCGGATGGCTATTGACGCCATCGCCGGTCGAAAAGAGGGTGTATGAAGTGAGCGAGAAACAGGGATTAATGGCAAATTCTGTTTAAGTCTCAGGCACCGTGAAGACAGACCATCCAAATGCCTATTAGTGTGGCTAACTCAGACAATGAGTGTGAAGCCATTTTTGTGACAGCAACCAGCTATCAACTACAAGAAAATATAGACTTCTTTCCTCTTTCTGTGTATAACTGTCAAAAGCGAACTTTTAGGCAAACGAGAACTGCAAGGCAAAAATTGGTTATGTTTTTGAAAAAAAGCTTGAGAGCGCAAATTAGATATCACGATTGTATTCGCATAACGCCTAAAAGACAGTGGAGATGGATGGAATAAAGAAAACCAAATTTAACCTCAATTTAGCAAATTTCTTATTGTAATAGGATTGCCACCTCGATGTGAGAGCATGCAAAACTCTTCACCATGTCATTTCAAAAGTCATTTTCTTGTGCATTAACTTAGGCGCAAATATCCTTCAGAAGCATGGGGATGATTGAAACTTGAACTCCTGCACTTAGGTATATCAAATTCAACCACGCTTTTTTTGGGTTTTGTTACAAACTTTTGCAGGTACGATTTTCCAACATATTTTTCCCCATCCAAGAACTAAACTGAAGATCTCCCGGTGGCGGCTACGTAGTGATTGCGAGTTGGCAGTAACCAGCACGGTAAAAACTTGCGTTGCGACAAACATATTTGAGCATACAACCCGGTGGCTCGTACATGTCCTGCCATTTCGAACCATAGATCCATGGATCGCATGCTTTCTAAAGTTTTCAATTTGCTAGCTTGCAATGAAATTTTTTTTGGCCAAAGTGAGCAAACTTCTGTAGACATTTTTTGGAAAACTTCCTGAGATCAACATTCCAGACTATAAGACTCATTAGCGACCAAGGGATTAGTACGGACAATTTTACAGTTAGAGGGGATTCCAATCCAGGTTTTTGGCGCGGTGCGGGTTCTCGCAGCCGCCTCGCTTGGGTCACAGCGTTTGCGAACGCGTCGCGGGACATTTTCCCCTCATCAGCTATTTGATGTATTTCCCATGCCTCAAGTGTGAAAAATACCGAATCCACTAAGGGCACGCGTTGAGTGACTCAAGCCAGGGGGCCCGCGAGAAAACGAGTCGCGCCGACCGTGACTTAGATTGAAATAACCTGTAAAACATTTAGAATTTTCTTGGTCCACTTTCGAAGACACTGGCTCACTGGAATCGCAGTTTTGTGGTTTTAACGCGCAAACAAAAAAAATTCGCGTCTTACTTTATCTCAAGTGTTTAGTGATTAGCGGAGTTAAATTTCGGGCTGTAAGCACACTCTCTTCTAATCAACTCTTCCCCAAGGTAGCTATAGCCAGAATCAAATTTGGAAGAGTCAATGTG